ATATCTATCCTAACTATTCTGCATATACAGATACAAAATGGTCCTTCCTTTGTATCCCCTTTTTTTGTTTAGTCCTGTCAGAGATGGGCATTCCATTGGCATCTAAATACTATAGGTGCATGAATTCAGCCAAACAATCCAACACAGTCCAGCGGTCCACAATAGTAGTGGGTTATCCCCAGAAGTTGTTGACCTGAGCCTTAAGAAAAAGCACAGCAGGTGACTGAATCTGTTCCTGACGGCATGTAAATTCAATCCAGATAGATCCACAGTATTGAAAGAGCTGGGCTTGTAGTGTGAGCAGTCCAATCAAGGAACTGCTCTGGTCTGTTTTGCTTGTTACCTATTTGAAAATAGTTAAATAGATGTGTACTGTACTGTTCCTGTGACCTTGGATTGCCCCACCACGTGTGTCCTGGCGCATAGCACCATCCCATCCCTGTAAGTGGTTTTACTATTTTTATTTCCCAGGCACTCTCCTCATTCCCCTTTTTGGTGGTAAACTGTTATGCAATTTAGACTGACTTGAACTCACTATGTGACTCAGGCTGGCCTTGAATTTATAGCGACTTTTCCGTGTCTGTCTCCCAAGTTCTGGGATTGCAGGCATGTGCCCCGATGTCTGACTCTTGATTAAATCATTTTTTATCTAATCAAATAACTAAAACATCCCCTAATTTCTAAATAATAAAAATTCCACATAGAACTGATGATGGGGATGGAACCCAGAGCCTCGTGCATGCTAGGCCAGTGCTGTACCCGAGCTCTACCTCTGCAGTCTTCCCAGATTTATGAGCAAAGATCCAGAAGATTCTGCCAAACACAAGGTACTCAGGTGAGACCATAGATCAGGAAGACAGTAAAGTTTTTTCCTTTACCTCTCTCTGATAATTATGGCCACAGGATGCTCCAGTGCCTTACAGTAATTGGGGCAAAGAATTCCACAATGAAAAAAAATATATATCTATATCTATATCTATATCTATATCTATATCTATATCTATATCTATATCTATCTGGAAAACTCTTGCATGAATGACAGCCTCACATCATTCCCAGATTGCCAGGTTGGCAGCAATGGCACTGAGGCCCAACTGTGCCTGCACAGTGGGGGTTCCCCTTAGTGACACACAGGTACCACCAAGCCCAGCCCCGTGCTATGGTAGAAGGACTTCTCCACTCCAGTTCTCCACTCCTGCCTGTAGCTATGTGCAGTGTGCTGTGGCCTTGCAGTTCTTCTCTCGCACACACAAAAGACAGTTTCTTTCTTTGCCTTTGCTCTCAGCTTGGCTGTATGTCTTGCTCCGGCTAACAGACATCAGGCGACACGACCTAAGCAGAGGCCAGAGATGTGCCCACGTGTTGAGGCTCACCTGGGTGTGCTTTTGCCTTCAGCGTGAACAGCGTTTTTCCTGGGTGGCTGCTGTATATCAGCTTGTGCTCAGTGTGAACAAGCAAGGAGCCGGCTGTTGAGGAGCCCAGCCTGACTCAGTTCGAAATCCAGCTGCCGTCGTAGGTCCAGACGGCCAGCTGGCCCACGGGAGCAGGAGACATGAGTGTGCATGCTGTGTGCACGGAGAGGTTGTGACTGTTTGTGATGCACCATCACAATACAAACAGCTGACAGACACAAGCACCTTTTATCCCTTTGGCTTTGCCAGCCTTCCCAGAAACAGTGTCCTTAGCTCCCTGCACAAATTGCTCTGAGAATTATTTGGGTGGGAAAAGAATTGTTGTTCTGCCCGATGTATGCTGATGTTAATGCTACAAAAAGGGGAGAAGAGCAAACAAGCTACAATCAGCCTCTTCTTCATGAGATCCACCAAGTTGAAAGCACTCGAAAGGCCATGATCTCAGAAGGAGGAGAGCGTGAGGTGACATCCTGCAAATACTTTCCCTCCAGGAAACTTTCTAGTGCTGGTAGGCGTCACTTGGGCAGAGCACTTCTGCTGGACCTGGGGAAAAGAGAACCTGGAGACTGAGGCTTCCCAGGAGAGGCCCTGGAGTGGCCAAGATGTCAGAGAAGAGGGGGACACAGAAATGTGCTCCTGACATGCAAGGGTTTCCCCTGGAAGTATTTGCTGGATTACTAAAGCCAGCAGAAAGCCCACAGAGTTTAAGGCCCACAGCAGGAGAGAAGGTGAGTAAATACACGGGCTTTCAGGTGGGATCCTCAGAGGGATGCACTCCTGAAGAGAGGGCAAACCAGAGGCAGAGAGAGCCTAGACTCTAGTCAGATTAGTGCCGGACTCAATTAAGATGACCTCTTCATGCTGCCTGCAAGAGGGTGAGGTGAGCCATTTCTGGAGGAAGACATTATCTACAGACACCAGAGCCACTAAAATGGGTCATAATCATTAGCATTTGACCATAAATGATCAAAGAAACCAGAAAAAATGAAAACAACACATAATAATGACCCAGATTTTGATGTTTTCAGGTATTTTTTGTAGTGCTAGGACTTAGAGTTAAATTCAGGACCTTGTGCATGCCAGGTAAATGCTCTACCACTGAGCCACACTCCTAGCCCAAATATACTTTTTTTTTTTTTTTTTTTGTATATATTTGGTACAGGGTCTTACTACACAACTTGGACTCGTAGTGATCTTCCTGTTGTCAACCTCCCCAGTGCTGGGATTACAGGCATGTGCCACCATACCTGGTCTCAGTGGCTGGCTCAGCATGCCCAGGGGTGGGGTCGGGGAGCTTAGTCCACTGAGCTATCTCACTGGCCCTTCCCAAATGTACTTGTATTACTAGAATCTCTGTATTAGCAATGGACATATATACAAAACTGTGTGAATAAATATAATGAATGATGTACAGGACATTTTACTGGAAAAATGGAACAAAATAAACTGTAAAGAAATGGAGAGATATACCGTGTTAACAGAAAGGAAGAGTTAACATGCTAATGTTGTCAAATGGCTCCCACATTGATTTACATAAAGTAGGCCCTCAAGTTATGACCGGCCTGACATATGAAAAACTTGGGTTATGACTGGAGTTTTAGTTTTAACTTATGACTAAAGTCTCAAGTTATAATCCAAAGGCTGGACTTTTGTGCTTTGAGAGGATCTCAGATATAGATTTAACCCTGAAAGGGTTCTGCAAGGAACATACCAACATCCTTTCCTGTATGGGGCTGAGAAATCCTGGGCCAATGTCTCTTTAAGGAGATGCAGAGGTCTGCTGTGTATAGGAGAGAGACTTGGGAGGCTGTGCAGAGGAGCCTGAGCCTTTGGTTGACAACTTGAGTTACAACCAGCCCTTGGGAATGAGCAGAGTTCCTAAGTCAAGGGTCGACCATAGTCAGTGAAATACAGTCAAATTCTAGAACTTTTGGGGGCAGAAATTGAGCAGCTTATGCTAAAATGTTGTATGGAGGTACCAAGGGCTTCTTTCAAATGCTAGGTCACACACAGACAAGATTGGCGATGCGGGTAGTACTGCTCCGTGTAATTATTGTCCTGGCCTTATGTGTAACCTCATATGGCAGCCTGTTTTTCCTTCATACCAAAGCAAAGAATCTGCTAGTCTTTTGTCATGTAGATTTTTCAGGAGGAGTTAGAGACATCAGTCCATTCTGTCCTGCCAAGAACACTTAACTATTTTTTCCAGTGTCCCTAGAATGGCCACTGCTAGTCAGGAGCCTCACCTGGAAGGAATGAGGGGATGGTTGGCAACTACAGGGACCCCAGCTGAAACAGTGTTATGGTTTGTGTCTAGGTGTCCCCCCCAAAGCCTCATGCAATCTTGGGGTGGCTTCTGGAGTTTGTGATTGATTACTGTGGGTGTGGTTGCTGCACCTGCCTGTGGCAGGTAATTTGCATTACAATGTAAGGTGGGAAGAGAAGCCAGCTGCTTGTGCTGCTGCTACCCCTCCCTTGTGCTCTTGCTCTTTGCTGGGGCCATGAAAGGTTGCCCTCTGCCATGTGCTGCTTGCTCTGCATTGGACCCAGCTGAGTATGGACTGAAACCTCCAGTAACTGTGAGCTAAATAAATCTTTCCTTCCTTCATTTTGAGTGTTGGGTATTTGTCCCGGCAATGAGAGAAGAGTAACTAAGACAAACAGAAATGGTTGCACTTTAGGAGCTTGCTCTGCAAACAGAAAACTAGGATGTGTATGCTATGAAGTCACCAGAAACAACTGAGGTGTGGACTAGATACAAGAGAAATGAGTGAGGAAAAGTAAAGACAGTCTGTCCATGCAGACCAGTGCCAAGAAAATCTTGTATTTGTGCACTGACAGAGATCAAAAGTAAAATAAAGAGACACAGACTCAACATAATGTTCACTACTTCTTTTGCAGAAATCCTGGACAGCATAAGAACAACGGGTGCTGTTTCTGGTTCTGGTCTAGTGATACAGAGATGATGCTTGGACCAAAAGCACAACTGCCCTGGGGTGAGAGGACAGTGCCTGTGGCAGTGACAGGGAGCTGCAGGAGCTTCTGTCTTCATGGGTGTTTCACAGGCCACAGCCCAACAATCATCTGGTATTGGTGGGGTTGTAAGTTCCCGGCTTGGGGACTATACTGTGCCCCATGTTCATCATTTCCTGTCCAGAGTGGGAGCCCCAGGCACCAAGTGCTGTTCTCCAAGGTGACCTGGAGAACTTCATCCCCAGTACCAGAGGCTGGGGCTGAGGCTTACACCAGGTGGAGCTGGGTTGGATGCAGCTCCCGGAAGGCCTCGGCACACATGAGGCCCATTTTGCCCAGTACAGCACCTGTACTGACCATCAAGCAGTCTACTCACAGCCATCTAGTGCTGGGGGACACTCCCGGCTTGCTTGCAGTAGAGGAGTGCATGCGTCAGAGGGTCCCCAGCCAGGGCTGCAGACCACAGCATCCTCATCTCCCCTTTCTGGCTGACAGCATTCATGCCGCAGGTCTCAGGCTAGCCCTGCAGTCCAGTGCAGTGTGGGATGAAAGTTCTCTTCTCATGCTTGCCACAGACACCATGAGGACAGGGAGTGTGCAAGGCAGAGCCGTGGATCAGGGCTTCACAGGGTAGCAGAGTGCATGCCAGCACCTCACCAGCTCCTTGGGTGTGGCCAGCATCACATCCCAGTGCTGCAGCTCTCTGCCACGGGAGAACATGTAGGGCCCCACCACCACATGGCCCAGCGGGAGGATCTCTGAGGGAGAGGCACAGAAACATGTGGCTGGGTCCAGTGACTGCAGGCTTCCCCCCATCCTCTCCATCACTCCCTACCCCAGGAAGGAAGGAGCAAGCCTCCCTGCTTAAGCATGAGCAATGACCCATTTATAGAAAGCTATAGGGAAGGACCCAGATGACAGTCTGCTCTGCAGGGCCACCAGCTCAGCCCCTTGCTCTCCTGTGACTAGGGAGAGCCCACCCAATGTCAAAGGGCTGAGGGGAAAAGGTCCCTTCAGAAAGAAGGCTGTTTCATCTTCCCCTTTATACATGGGGTGAACCTAATCTGATGTCAACCCACCACTGTGCTACAGGGATGAGTCCCAGGCCCAGCCATGTGATCAGCCACAGTTGGAGCTCTGCTTCCCCAGAGAGGCAGAAAACACAGGTGGCAAGGGAGGGCTGATTGTTAAATGAACTAGGACACAGATGGGAGAGCTTCTCCGGAGGTCTGTGTTTCCTCCGTCTGCCTGTTCAGCAGCCCCTCCTGCCCTTCATCCCAACAGCCTGGGGTGAGGAGCCTTACTGTCACCCTTGGCATTCTGCAGCACCATTAGGCTGATACTGGTGGTGTCCAGCTTGGTGGCATTGACCTTGAAGCAGAAGGTCTCACTGTAGACTGGATTGGCGGAGCCCAGCACAGCCGATGTCTTCTTGTACTTGACAAACTTGTTGTGGTTCATCAGTGACACTTTGACAAACACACCTGGGGTGTGGGGCACACAACATGACTGGAAGAGGGATAGGACCCCTCTGCCACCTGTGGGAGCCAGGCAAGGCCAGGTTCTTGCCACTCCCATTGGCCATGGAGGCCAGAGGCAACAAGAGGAAACAGGACAGCAAGCAGAGGACCTTGCCTTGTGCTGCCTGTGGAAAAGCGGCTCCCTTCCTCTTCCTTCCTCTCTGCCTCCCGTGGGGTGGCCCATGTTTACCCAGCCTGACACCTCCTGCCCAGCCTTCCCTATTGGTGGTGTTTGGGCCCCTGGGTCCCAGAAAACACCATCTGAGCCAAGGGCTCAGATCTTGGGGCTGGGCTCATATTGGGTGTGATGGCAGAGGCAGGTTTGAGTCTTGGCTTGTACCCAGATGAGAGTTGCCACCTGGCTAGGGACACCCATGTGTGTAGGGGGACCATGGGAGAGCCCAGCCACTATTCCCCATGCCTGTGTTTCTGGAGGCTGGGGGCAGGTGCCCTTAGAGTGGCCATTGTTGTACAGTGAGCACTGGAGTCCTCCTGGAGATGTACGTTTGGACTCAGCCAAGGGATAGGTGCCAGCAGAGGGGGGCAGGAAGCCCTGGGAGCCATGAGCTGCCTTGGGAACAGGAGGGCAGGGCATGGCCTAGACCTGCTCAGAGCCAGGAGGTGACATTGGGTTCATTTCAGGGACAGGTTTCTTGCTCCAGGATGTCCTGGCCGGGGTGGCACCTGATGACCAGGCAGGAATTGGGTGGTTGGAGTGAGGGCCTCACTCATGAGCTGAGACCTTCCCCAGAAGGTGGGAGAGGACTCACTCGCCACGCCCCGGTCCTCCTGGAGCTGGAGACCTCTGGCATGCAACACCACAACTGTCAGGCAGCTCAGGGAGTTGTTGTAGCAGAGGCAGAACTGCAGGTCACCAAACTCTGAGGGGGGCTGGAGACACCAAGACAGAGGCACTGGCAGGAGGGAGGGGCACAGGACAGGACCACCCCTGCCTCCTCCCTGCTCTGGGCTGTCATAGCTGGGTGCACATGATGCAGCCACACAGCCTGGCTCCCATATTACAGAAGAAGAAACTGAGGCCTGGAGATCCAAAAGGACTTGTGCAGCACAGGCTGAGCATCGCTAATCTGGAGACCAGGAATCTACAAGGCGCCAATGTCCACAAGTTTTTGAGTGCCAAGTGGAAAATTCTGTACCTTCAACTTTTTTTCTTGCACAAAATTATTATAAACATTGAATGTAGGTATGTAAAGTATGGATGAAACAGAGATACATTTTATTAGACTTTGGTTTCATCCCCAATATATCATTATGTATTTGCAAATCTGAAAAAATCTCCAATCTGAAGTCTTCTGGTCCCAAGCATTTTGGATAAGTAAGTCTCAGCCTGCATTGTGGACCAGAGCCAGGAAGTCACACCCAGGCCTGTAGCATTCCAAAGCCTGTTGGAGCCCCCAGGTGCCTCCAGCGGCTGGGGAAGAGTGCATTAACTGGGTCAGCATGTGTGTGGTGTGCCACCTAGCACAGGCATGGGAACCTGGAAAATGGGCAATTTACAAGCAGCTACAAATAATGTGATAGCCAGTGTGAAGGGCCTGCCCGGGAGCTGGTCCACCCTGCTGTGTCCCCTGCAAGGGCCATGCCTGGGGGTGGTGTGCAGTGTGCTGATGCCAGCCAGCAGGTGCCCTTGGGTCCAGAGCACACTTGCCAGCTGCCCACACAGTGCTGACCCTTGCTGGCACATATCTGGTGGCTCCACTTTGCCTCTAGGCTCTCAGGCTCCAGGTCTCTCCAGATGATGTGGTGGCTGTTACCTGCCAGAGTCTCGCTCCTCAAAGGGAACAGCACCTGGCCCAGCAGCTGGTGCCTCCTCTGCCTGTCCACGTGGTACATTGAGAACCGCAGGACTCTCTGGGTGATACTCTTGCCTGATTCCGGGGGGAGATTTGGCAGAGTCAGATGTGGGGCAGGATGGGGTGATCCCAGGTGATCCCCTGGACATAGGCACTTTGGGAGAGGTGTGTCTTGACCAGGGACATGCTCAGGGGACCCCCCCACACCCTAGCAGTGGACAGCATCTCCTGGGGAAGTGACCAAGCCTTGTTACCCACTGTGCTCTGAGGGCCTGTGGTATCAGAAAGGTAGGCCCTGGGCCTCTTTATCTGCTCTGAAATAAGTAAAACTTCCAAGTGTTCAGCCCTCAGGTAATTGTCCTTCCTCTCTGGGTTGTAAAAGCCCAGTCATAGCATCTGTGGATAGCAAAGGGCGACCCATACTGACTATTATAGCTGTTTCTAGAGGCCACCTAAAGTCTCATGTACTCATAGATCGGGCTTTTCAGAGCTTGCTGGGTATAGGGTCTGTGACACTGGGATTAAGGGTGTGCAGGGCTAAATTAGTCTACTGCCTGGAACTAGCTCAGTGCTGGGTGTGGTTGAATGAATTCACTGAAGACAGAAGCTCTCCCAGGTGTGAGTGGCACCATCCAGAAGGCTTGTAAGCCTACTGGGGTTAGAAGGGACAGAAAGGAGGCAGCCCTGCTGCTGCGTGCCTCTTGCCCTTGCAGCTTCCTGACTGCCCTGCTGTGGACTGTTTCTCATCCTCTACGCCCCTCTGCCACACCACCCGGCTTTGGAGCCAGCTGACTATGGACTGAAACCTCTGCAAACTATGAGCTGAAATAAATCTTTCTTCCTTTAACTTATAGACAACAGGTATTTTATCTCAGCAACAAGAAAGTAATCAAGACCCTGACTTTCTCCTTCCTTAAAGCACAGAAAAACCAGGACAAAGTTGGGGTGGGACCAGTGGGTATGCAATTAGTGAAAGCAAGTGGGCAAGTGCCACATCTGCCTTGAGACAGACGTGGTCTCAGCTTGGTCCTGATGACTCAGGAAGCTCAGATTCATCTGTAAATCCTCACAGCTTTGGCCCTGGTAGCAGAAGGATGGCCTGGGACCAGTCTACAGGCTTCCTTTTCACCACTTCTCAGCCCCTGAGGAGGTGTGGAGCATGGCTCTGGCCTCAGCAACCCTTCTATGGGAAACTGATGGCTTCTCCTGACCTCCTGGGCCTGACTGCTATGCAGGTACCGAGGCAGTGTTTGTCCATTATCTCTTGGCAGCTCACAATGCCAGCTTCCCCTAAAGGTCCTGGTCACCTGCTCAGATTCCGAGGCCCCTGCAGGCCAGATGCCCTGATAGCCTTTGCACTTGTAGCCGAAGGTGTACAAAGGTACCACATCCACCCCAATGTGGCAAGTCTGTCCCACTCTCAGGGGCCTGGGAGTCTTCCCAAGCCTTGGGCAACCTTGCCAGAAACCCCATATTGCTCAGTCGGGTTGCAAGGCTCCTGTAACAAGTCAGGCTGTCCTGTGCACACACCAGCTCTAGAGCAGTATCTGGAAGATGAAGTGCTCATGAAACTTCGGATCGGAGATTTTTCATTTGATCCTGGACTGGAGGAAGTGTTGTTCATCAGGCAGCAGATGGAGCCTCATGAGGGGGCTGCAGATTTCTGAGGGGGCTCACAGCTTCTGTGCCTTGATCAGGCCCACCAGCAGCCGCTTAGCCTCAGGCTGATACTCCAGAGAGAACCAGAGCCGGCCCAGGCAGCCAGCAGGGAAATGGGTCTCACTTGTGTCCTCTGGAAGGTGGTACAGCTCAGGGTTAATAGTCCCCACCATACAGGCATCCTCTACAACAGAAGGGCTATGAAGACTGGGAGGCCAGGGGAAGATGGGGTGTGGGAGCTAGTGCAAAGCTTTGGGCACACCCAAACTCTGGGCCCCTCACCTTTCTCTCCTTTCCACACTGAACCTTCTAAGCCACAGGCATTGCAGGGACAGGACAGGGATCAAGCAGAGTCCAGATCATTCCTTCAGCCCTGCCCCCCACACATGACCGCTCTGGCTGACCCCATCCTTGCAGACCTGGGGCTGCGTTGTTGCCCCTGGTGCCCTTTTCATGGGGCCTGGAAAATGACTCAGTGATAAAACTTCAGTGATTGCCTCTTCCTTCCTCTCCCAAGTAGAAGGGCCATGCTGATGACTGGCTGGTGCCTGGAAGGGCTTCTCAGGAGTTCTGAGCAAAGAGGCACCACCCTCTCGCCCTCTCAGTCAGCTAACCCGTCCCTCTGCAGGATCCAGCATGTGTGCCCCATCTGGGAAGGCCTGACTTCAATCCTCATTCTGTTGCTGCCTCAGTTTGCCAATGTGTAAAATGGGGGTGGTACTGGCTTCCCCCAGAGGGGATGAAGCTGAACTTCAAAACCACACACACGTCAGATCTCATGGGCTGGGAAGCAGGTGGATCCACAGGTCACTCAGCTCTGAGCCTGCCCAGCAGGGGGAGCACTCACCACAGCTGCCCCCTGAGGCATGGCACAGGAGCTCTGGAGTTGGACAGGGGTCCTGAGGGGCCTGAGCACCTGTTCTGCCGTGCAGGGACACCCAGTCTCGGGCTTGGAGGGAAGGGGGCACCACAAATGGCATAGCTGGTGGCCTGTCCAGAGGGAGGAAAATGACAAGTGGGTAAGTGAGTGGGAGGGCTGGGGGGAGAAAAGCTTGCACCAGGCATGCACGCGCGCGCGCGCGCGCGCGCACGCACACACACACACACACACACACACACGGCCAGTGCTTCTGTTTCACAGCTGTGGAAAGCTGGACAGAGAACATAGCCTCTGACCCCAGCCTGTCAGCTTCTAACTCCTTTTCTGCATCTTCTTAGAGGTGCTAACTGGACCTGTCACTTATGTTGTCTGAGTCTTAGTTTCCTAAAAGTGGGTTGCCTGAGGGCTGCCTCCAGGGGGCGAGATGCCAGTTTGTCTGCAGTGGCAGACAGCAGCAGGCAGACAGCCAGGCATGGAGATCTTAGACAGAACTGTTCTTCCCACACCACTCCAGGGCACCCCTACCCCAGGAGCCTGGAGAAAGGCCAGCTGGGGTCGACTCTGACTCACCTGCCTAGCTGGGTCCCAGGGCATGGCTGGCAGAGTCTGTCCCCTGGTCCTCTAGTGCCTGTGGCTGGTGACTCTGGCAGCTCCTCATAGGTGATGGATGGTGGCACAGAGCCTCCTCCACAGGAAGCAGCTCACCCCGACCAAGAGCAGCAGCAGCAGAAGCCCCCCAGTGATGCCCTCAATCACCAGGGCCAGCCACTCTGGAGCAGAGAGTATGGGCAGACTGTGATGCTTGCTGTGGGCCCTGCCCCAGCCCACCTGCTGGGTTACAGCCCAAGAGAGACAGGAGGCAGACCACAGCACCATCTGCACGGTGGCTGGGGTTCGGTGGAGCAGACATTTCCCTAAAGTCCTAAGTGCCTGGCAGGGCCTTCTGGCTCCAGGAAAGCAGCTGACCTAGTCTCTGGGCTTGGTTTAAAGGAAGGAAGTAGAAGCCAAACCTTCCTTGCGAGATGTCCCACCCTCCCCCAGTGCTGTGGGTCCTGTATCGAGGCCAGACTGGCTCTGGGGTCTATAGCCTTCTAACATTGGCTTCTTCCTTTATCTGCCTATCTAGGGGAGAAGGCTGGAGGCAGTGAGGGTGTGGATGAGGAGTGGGTATAGGTGTGAGGAGTTATGGACCCTGTGAGGCACCACACCCCTATTCTGCTGGGACATCTCCAGAGCTCTGAGGGCTCTCCAGCTTCACCACATGTTCCAGGTAAAGGGGACCCCTGGACACCTGTGGGATGTGTGGCTCTCAGGGATCTGGGACCTGATGGGGTGGGGTGGTGAGAAGGCAGATGCCATTAACCTGAACCTCTCCTCTTTCCATCCCGAGCCCCTCTAGGATCAGGTGCAGCTAGCCCTTATCAGCCATGGTGTAGTACACATTCTGGACAGCTTGACTAGGTCCCAGGGTATGGCTGGAAGGACTTGTCTGTCTTCCCCTGGCGACCACTGGTGGTCATCTAGTGCTCCCTGCACAGTGCTCCCCAGGGCTGCAGCTCAGCTCAAGTCCTGCCAGGACTGAGGACCAGGAGGGGTGTGAAGCAGTGCACACTAGGAAACCTTGGGCTCCAGGAGGGCAGGTCCAGTGGTCCAGTGCCAGGCACTTCCTGGTTCCCTGTGGCTCAGGACTGGGAGGAGCTCTACTCTTGCTCCCATCCAGGAGGCAGGAGCCTCCTAGCCAGGACTGGCAGGTGGTTCTGCAGCGGACCCTGCCAAAGACTTGCCTCAGTGGATGAAATAGCCAGATTCTGGAGCCGGATCTCTTGGGTCACCTCGTGCGGGGAACAATTTACTCCAGTGCTTGTGGCTTTTGCCCCTCCACTGGGTTGAGACCAGCACACATCAGAGGGGTGTGTTTACTGTACCTGAGTGGCTCTCACAGTGCACCCTGGGAGCCCTTGAAAGGTTCCTGCCAGCCTCCCTTGTGGGACAGTCCCATGAGGGGACATTCCCTGGGTGCCCTGGCCTGTAAGCTCCTGTTACTATGCTGTTTTAGCAGAAAGCCCAACCAGGTGGGGATAGTCTCCTCCTTCCTCTGCCTGTCCCACTCCCCAGGCTCCCCAGAAGCTTCTGAAAGAAATCTCCTGGACCTGAGGGCCAGGGAGGAAGCCTGGGCCTGCTTCCCAGAGGATCTGAGCTTGCGGAAGTCCAGGTAGGCAGGACTGAGGAATGTCCACTGTCAGTGTGCCCCTTAGGTCCTCTCAGAGGTGGGGCATCCAAGGAGGGAAGGGTGGTGACCCGGGTCTCCCTCATGTCCTGGGGGCCTTCTGAGCCATGTGCTCAGTCTGAGGTCAGTGCAGAGATGGGGAGAGAGCGACTCCGAGACCTCTTCACCGTAGCTGGACCTGAGAAGTGGCCACACTCTGCTCCATCCCACCATGCTACTAGGGGCCAGGGCAGGCCCTTCCCTCAAGGCCTCTGGAATAAGCCTGCCCTCTACTGATCCAGTCAGTGGCTGTCCTGCCAGGGCAATCTGCCTTCTGCTTCTATAGGTGATGGGGGACAGTGTATCTGGGATGGGCCTGGGTCTCTGTAACCTCCTTGGGTGGGTAAGCTTAACTGAGTCAACTGGATGGCTTGTGGGTTTCCTGGGGAATTAAGCACACTTCTGTGTGTGTGGAGGGGGGATCTCGGAGGCCTGGCCTGGGGGACGAGCTCGGGTCCCTGGCCCTTCCTCATAGGCACTGCGCCCACTCTGCTTCCCTGGTCAGCATCCTTGCTTCAGGACTTCCTTCTGCCATGATACTAGCGACTGAATCCTCCAGGGCAAATTAAACATGCCCTCCCTTATGTGGTGGGTGGGAGAAGCTGGCTAATACCCGGGCCATCCTTCTCCTCGGGTGTGCGTGAGACAGCTGTGTTTATCATTTTCTGTCACAGCTGTGACGAATGACCCAAGGCTGAGCAGCTCACAGGGCTCATTCCAGTTGGGTGGGGGGCAGAAGGCTCCAGTGAGTGGGCAGGGCCTGCATTCCTCCTGAAGCTCAGCATGTGCGTGTGCGTGTGCGTGAGTGCGTATGTGTACAGCTCTCTTTGCCTGTACAGCAGCTGGAGGCCTCTTTCATCATCTTCAAAGTCAGCAGTACAGTATTTTCTAATCTGACTGTGGGTTGTTTTCACATTGACTCTACCTCCCTTTTACAAGGATGTTTAAAATTACAGGGAAGGGCTGGCCAAGCAGCTCGTTGGATTAAAGCACCTGCAAGCAGGTGCAGGGGCCGGGGGTTCAATCTCTGGGCCTTCCATGCTGGTCCTGACCCCAGGGTACGCTGAGACAGTGATTAAGACTGGGCATGGTAGTGCCTGCCTGTAATCCCAGCTCTTGGGAGGCTCTAAACAGGCAGATCACTACGAGTCCAATCTAGTAGTGAGACCCTGAGCACTCTGTAGACCCTTCCCTAAAATACAAAAAAAAAAAAAACAAAAAACAAAAAACAGGGGATCCAGTGGGCAAGCTAAGACAGACTCCCCATATCCAAGTCATTAACATAATGACATTTGTGATGTCCCTTCCACCATGCAAGGTGACCTACTCACAGGTTCAAGGATGTGAACATTTTGGAGCCATTAACGTACTGGCTTGTGCATACTGAAGCTGGGGAGGGGACAGCTTGTGGTCTACCTCCTGCTGCTTGGAGGGCTCGGTGTGTCCCAAGACAGCCTCCAAGGGAGCAAGGCCCACGCGATCCCTTCCTTGATACCCTGTAGCTGCTCTGGCCCCTCACCCTGCTGTTCTGATCCGGGGCCTCATTACACCTTCTGAGACATGCCTCCCCATCCACACTGCTGTGGTCAGCCTAAGTCACCCTGGGTTTGCTCTGGGAGCAGGCAGGGAGTGGGTTCCTGGAAAACGAAATGCCTTTTGGCCAGTCAAAAAGTACCAGATCTACAGCTATTATGCTTCTCTGCCAAGGCCCCCATCTTCCTTCTTGGCCTCCTCTGGCCACCTGGTCACCTTGTCCCTCCAGATCTTCTCTGCTCATGTGTCACTGCCCAAACCCTCAGCCGAAGCCCCACTGCCCTTTCCTATAGCATTCGTTGCCTCAGTCTTTCCTAGTCTCCCAGGATTGGCTCCTATGCTTTCCCGGCTTGTATCTCCCAGGCTCCCACTACTCCTGTGCGTGGTCAGTGTCCAGACGGGTGCAGCTGCTCTGGAAGCCCTGCCATTCTGCTGGCCCCCTCTCAGCATGCCTGGCATCGTTGGTACCCCTCCATCTTTCATCCCTGTGCTCAGCCTTTGGAACGAACCTCCAGCACCCCCTCCATGAAGCTGCACTCACCACTGCTTGTCCTTGCAGCCACCATGTTGATCACAAGATTCTGTGGCTGCCACATTGTTCCTCTGTCCCCAGCAGACTGGCACCTCCATGTAGGTGGGGATATTGGCATCTCCAGTGCCCTGCAGGTGCAGGTGCAAGGCTGGTGCTGGATGGTGGAGGAAGGACTTGTGTCAGCGTGGCCTGAGTGTCACCCCCATCCAGAGTCACACTTCCTGTCCTGCCAGGTGTTCCTTGTCCTGGTCCTGGAGAAAGGTTGCCAGGCTGGTACTTGTGCTTCTGTCTCTGTCTACCAGCCCCCTTCATGTCTAACTGGCCCTCTGTGTGCTGGATCTCACTCCACTGGAAGCAACAGCAGGTGGCAGGAGAGAACTTGCCTTTCTTGGGCTCCTGATGTTCTCTGCAGCACTGTGATGCAGGTTGGATGTCACTTTTTCCTTGAACCTCATGCCAATGCTTAGAGTCAGGATAATGCTCTCAGTGGAAAATACCAAGGAAGGTTCATGGCCTGCCAGGTAAGTGGTGAGAACAGAGCTGGCCTCTGGCCCCTCATTCTCTCCTCCCCGTGTGGTCCCCTTAAGACCATTTCCTGTGGAGAACCCTAAGAACCAGGCCAAGCCCCACAAATGGGCACTCTACTTGGTTTCCCTTCAGCTCTGTCCCTCAAGGGCTCCGAGGCCAGGCTGAGCTAGCGCCAGCATCACATAGTAGAGGTACCACCCACGGCTGGCAGCTGACCTGACCCCGCTCTGTTTTCAGATCTTCTCCTTCTGGATTTCTGGAGCTGGGAAACCTAAAAAGGACAGCAGATATGGTCTCTCTCTTTCATCATCAAAAGGAAACCATATTTCCACAGGCAAACACATTCCTAAGGGGAGTTTCAGGAAGCCCAAGAGTTTAAAGGCCGACAAATGTCTGCATGTGGTTAATAATTCAGCACAGTGATAATTCGTGAGAAAGGCCACCTTCAATTAACCTTAAGAAGCAACCCCTGTGGAAGGAAGTGTCATCTCTCATTGCTTAGGAACAGAAGGGCCTGCACAGGATAAAGGCCACCCTGAGATGTGTATATGACTGTGTTTCTCACATTTACACAAATTCCAGCCTGGTCACCTCAGGTCTGTCAGTGGGGGAAGGGTTCCCCTACCAGCCTCCCTGTGTTTTTTCTGATTCTGCTACACTAGCCTCAGGCTTAATTTCCTACACCCTTATTATTTTTAGATCCAAAATATCCCCCAAAGGCCCATGTGTACAAAACTTGGTCCCCAGCCTGTAGCCTAGTTTAGAGGCAGTGGAACCTTTAAAAGGAGGGGTTCAGGGGAGGGAAGCACAGTCATTGGAGGTGGGCCCCTGAAGGAGTTACTGGGACACTGTCCCTTCCTGTTGCTTTCCTTACTTCCTGGCCACCACAAAGCGAACAGCCCTGAGCTCTG